TCCGTGAACAGTGGTTTGTGAAGCCCACGGGCAAGGCTAGAAGAGCATACCGGTACATCTGGTGCTGTCCTCGAACTATTATTTATTTAGCACTGTTGGGGATGACTGTGCCAAAAGGAAAATGACGTTGATAGCAAGTTTTGACTAATAATTTTGTGGCCTAGCCTTGCTTCAATGAGTTATTGATTGAGACATGCTTTCATGATTAATCATGCTTGAAATACCAGAACGGCTTGTTGTAGTGTGTAGTGTAGATGTTAGCCTTACCACCAATGGACGTATGAGTCTAGAGGGCTGCTTCTATCTTATATCTGGAGCTTGCACAAGGCCATCTTCCATTTCAGACTGGAGAACTCAGCTTCACATCTTGCATCGCAAAGCATGTTGGATAGGATAGGAGTGGAGTCAAGTGGTTTGATTCAACCTGCCTTTGTGTCCATCTGAGGGTACATTCCGCTGTAGATTTGTGTCTCAATCGATGTGTCCCAATCGATTGAGACGCGTACAGCCAGCATATGCTGCCAGGTGTCGAAATGCCGTGGCGCCCGTCTTTGTCGCCGACTGTATTTATCATAGGCTGGCGTGATTCACGGAACAGTCGCCCGCTAATTGCAACACACCCAAGGACTCGCAAACGGCACCAAATGTTTCAACAGGCATCATGTATCTGGACCACATTTTGCGAAACTCAATTTCCCCCCAAACGCGTACAATGCGTCCTCATTGGAGGAAACGAAACATGCAGAATTATTGACAGGGACGCGCACATTCCCGCCAGTCCGCGGGCCCCCCGTTCTCGTGCACCTCCAACACAACTCGTGTGTGATGTATTGCTCTTCACTCTTCTCCCGCCACATTTCCCAGTAGATTTAGATCTAGAAGCTGTCCCACCGGCCCGCATGGCACGTAAGCGTAAGGGAGGGGCTCTGAACGACTGCCCCAAAGACTTAAACGAAATCCCGTACATCCGCTGGATGAACCAGCAAATCGCCAACGGTCGTCACCCCAGGGGCTTGTCCGCGCCACCCGTAAGTGACAGTCAGTGGTCTACTGCACCGTCGCCCACGGCGGGGCCGTCCCGTGTGCGCCGCCAGCCTCCCAGGACGGCGTCCACACACCGATCTGCCATTGAGGATGACGGCGCAGACGATGAGGACGGTGAAGGCGACGACGACGTCGCCTCCGACGACGAGGACGACGCACCTGAGGACCTTGGGATGTCGCCCATCGACGACGACGAAGACGACGACGAGGATGCCGAGGACGACGCCTCCGAGGAAGCCCATCCAGACGCACCGCCGCCGAAACGGCCGACCGCACGCAAGGCTGCGCACGACAAGGGCAAAGGCAAGGCGGCGTCCCAGTCTGCAGCTCGTCGCGAGCCGAGTAAGAAACGGGCTGCCGCACCAGTCGAGCGTGGCACCTGGTCTGACACGGAGAGCACCATCTTCGCCGCGGCGAAGTGGTTCATGAAGGAGGAGCTCGAGCCTCTCAAGGGGAAGCAGGGTACCCAATACTGGGTCCGGCTGCTCACACACATCAAAGAGTCGAACCCCGGATGGATCCGGGGTGTCAACGCGCTCCAGAAGCAGTGGCGTAGCCTCGTGTTTCTATGGCGGGAGTACAAACGTGCCGACGGGGGGTCGGGCAACGGCTCCGTAGAGAAACCGCCTTGGTTTCCGTACCTGGAGCTGCACAACCAGGACACCGCCGCAGCCGCTCCGCATGCCGTGGACGGAGGTGGCGCGAATAACGTCGACGTCCCGGCGGGCATGGAGGTTCCACAATCGTCCCAGCCAGGCACGTCAACTCCTTGCTTCACAGGTGAGCCATGGGTGTTCTATTCGGCGCTGTAGTTCTTGTTTATACGAACTCGTGATTCATGACTGCCTTTTTATATTACCACCATGTAAGGCACAAGAATCAACATTGTGTTCGAAACAAAAACTGACCTACAACCACCATCTCTTCTATGTCGCAGCTCCTCCGCCAGCGACTCCTGGCACACCCAAGCGTGCCCGAGTGCGTGAGACGGCCACCATGCAAGCGGCGATGCTCGTCTCCGCCACCATCAAGGACTGCCATGGCGACGCCATGACTCGCATCGAAGGGCTCGTCCGTGAATGGATGGCGCAAGATCTCCGACTTGCCCGTGAGCGTATGACAGAGTCGGCTCCCCCGGATGTGCACCGCGCGCCCCCTGATTTCTCTCCACCGCCGCCACGCGGGGAGTCTGCTCCTGCACCCGAAACCGGTACTACAGCGGATGAGGATGTGGAGATATGGGTTCGCGGCGCCGACGATTAGCGTAAGATGACTGAAGCGCCTCCCCCAGGCGTTTCCTCCTATCCCGAAGTGCTTGTTGTGTTGGGGGATCACACGGCTCCCATTTGTGTGTCGCAATAGCACCCAGCGTCCACCATGGATCGCGGTTGCGGGGGAGGTTCTCCCATGCCATGTTTCGCCGCCTGACATCTTGCATGTCCTCACACATGTTATGCAGGATGACACAACACGCGGCCCCGGCGAGGATGCGCCATAACCTGCAGTCGTTGCGCTGGCCGAAGATGCGCCATCTCCCTTTGAACGCCCCGATGCATCTCTCCACGGCCATGCGTGTAGCGCTTTGACAGTAGTTGAATGTCTGTGCCCAGTCATCCATGAGGTCCTCTCCTCGTGGGGCATGCAGGGGTGTTAGGCAGTACTCCCGTAGTGGGTATGCCGCGTCGCCAACGATCTGGTATGGGGCTATGTCCCCGTTGTGTAACCTCTCCAGTAGTGCACTTTCTTTAAAAACCCGCATGTCGTGCGCGCTCCCGGGATACCCTATCAGGTAGTCCCATATTCGCCCCCGTGCGTCACAGGTGAGCTGGAGTTGGACGGCATAAGCAGATTTCCGTGTCCAGTACTCTGTTCTATGACCCTCCATCCCCTTCATGTGTACATGAGTGCCGTCCACAGCACCCACCACAGCAGGTATGCCTTTGACGGCTGCAAACTCCCGCGCCATATCTGGAAGGTCTTCACGGGTGGGGAATCGCACCCAGGCGGCCTTGAAGACGGTGGGGAACTCCGACAGAAATACGTCGACGAGCTCGTGGCATAGAGTTTTGGAGACGCCGAACAAGTACGAAATGTCGACGTACGAGATTCCGGAGGCCAGGTACTTGATTGGGATTAGCACTGCAGTGTCCAAGGTGAGCATGGAGCGTTGCACTATTGGCTCTAGGTAGTGTTGCAGCCCAGCCTTGATGTGCTCCAATATTGATTTATTTATCCTGAAAAGATCCTGAAAGTCGTTCTCACGCATGTGTTGCAGATCTTCAACCCATACAGAGTGTTTTCGCTTTCGTATCCTCGCTCTGTGACGGCGGTTCTCGCCGTAATCATCCCCTGTGGATGAGGACTGCTCTTCCTCTTCCTCGAAGACACCTGACTCGATGAGGCCTACAAAGCTCTTGGCCACATTTTCGTGAAATATGGTGTAGTAGTAGGTTACCCAGGCGACGAGTAGGCGTAGGACGAATGGGATGGGTCGTGGCTCTGCCATATTGTGTTCATTGGACAGGCGTATTTTCCTATTTCTGTGTTTCTGGAATATAGTAGCTCCTTGTGTGTGCTTCGTATTGCCATAGCACCCACAGTCGCAATTATTGGATGTGTTGTGTGTCTTCCGCGGTCTCCCCGTAGGCCTTTGCGCTCTTGGAGGGGAAATGGGTACAAATTGGACGGTGACCAATCAGCTGTGGTCGCACATAATTGTCGCTTCACACAGCCTAGTCGCAAAACATCGGTCAATTGGGACATGCAGATTCGGGAAAATTGGGCGTGACTCGACGAAAAGTGGATTGAGACATTTTGATTGAGACACAAATCCACAGCGGAATGTACCCTGAGTGATTAGTGAAGAATCGAATGATGGTCTGCACTGCACTGTACGTGAGTATTGGCTGGAAACCATACCATACAAGGTCATCTCTCTATTCTCAAACAAGAAGAGGAAGACAACGAAGACCGTATCCCCAACCCCTAGAGCATGCTGGAGTGGCTCCTGCCAGCCCTTCTGAGAATGGAGGTGATTCCGTGAAGAGTTGGGTTGGGCTGGGTTGGGTTGGGTTTTGACAATTGCCTCAAGCCCACCCAGAGCATCTCAAGCCAGCAACCCAAGCCTTTTCACTCCCCTAGAGCATGCTGGAGTGGCTCCTGCCAGCACTTCTAAGCATGGAGGTGATTCGGTGGAGGGTTGGGTTATCCACGGCACATCCGCTGTCCTGCAGCTCTCTGCAGTATCACAGGTTGTGGTAAAACAGGACGTGGGAGGGGAGGGGATGGAGTGAGTGGTGGGCGAGTGAGTGAATGAGTGAGTGAGTGAGTGAGTGAGTGAGTGAGTGAGTGAGTGATGGAAGAGGCGACAGGTTCTAGGCTTGACTAGGCAGAAGCCACTCAGACCAATCCTTCTGAGCATGGAGGTGATGTAGTGGAGAGTCGGGTGTTGTCCACAGCACACCCACTGTCCCTGTGCCCCATCCCCTGTTTGCGAGGCTTCTGTTTCCTGCCCATCCCCCAAAGAAACCAGCAAACACAAGCTTACCTGCACAGTCGCATGACCTCTCTGAGATCCCCCACCCGCGCGTGTGCGTGGAGAAGAATCACAGACCACACAATTCATGCCCCCAATCCCATGCTCTGTGCCCCGTGCCCCATGCCCCATGCCCCATGCCCCATACCCCGTGCCCCATGCCCCATGCCCCATGCCCTGTGCCCTGTGCCCCGTGCTCCATGCCCCGTGCCCCGTGCCCTGTGCCCTGTGCCCCGTGCCCCGTGCCCCGTGCCCCGTGCCCCAGGCACCCCAATTCACCTGAAAAGCCGAGTGGCAACTCTGAGATCCCCCACCCGCGCGTGTGTGTGGATAAGAATGGCATTTGACACGTGGCTGGGCGGCACGCCCTCTCAACCCCCCTGTTTCCTCCCATCCCCCAAACGAGCAAATCAAGCCAAACCTACCTGAACAGCCGAGTGGCTTCCCTCAAATCCCCCGCCTGCGCGTGTGTGTGGATGAGAATCGCATACGACACATGGCTGGGCGGCACCCCCTCTGCTCTCATCCTGCGGAAGAGAGCAGCAGCATCGTTGACCATGCCGGCACGGCGGTAGGCAGCGAGCATGGAGTTGAATGTCACCAGAGATGGGCGGAGACCCGAGGAGAACATGCGGGCAAACATGGTCGATGCGTCCAGAATCCGATCGGCCTTTCCATAGCTGGAGGAAGAAGGGACAGGAAACAGGGGACAGGAGAAAGGACGACAAGAGACAGAGTTCAGCTTCCCTGTGGGTGGATGGGAACCGCCCCCTCTGCTCCCATCCGTCGTTGACCATGCCAGCACGGCGGTAGGCAGCGAGCATGGAGTTGAATGTCACCAGGGAGGGGCGGATGCCAGACGACAGCATGCGGGCGAACGTGGTTGACGCATCCAGAATCCGACCGGCCTTCCCATAACTGCATGGGGAGGGAAAACAGGAGGCAGAAGGGCAGGAGAGGGATGAGCAGTGAGCATGGAGTTGAACGTCACCAGGGAGGGGCGGAGCCCAGAAGAGAGAGCATGCGGGCAAAGGTAGTGGAGGCATTTAGGATCCGATCGGCCTTGCCAAAACTTTTGAGTCGACTCAAGAGAGCATGCGGGCAAAGGTAGTGGAGGCATTCAGGATCCGATCGGCCTTGCCAAAACTGCATGGTGGGGGAAACGGGAGGAAAGAAGAGAGCAAGGGGCAAGACCATTCCTTCGCCTCCTCCTCCCCACCATCACTCCCTTGCACTCTCATTCTCCCTCCACACCCACTCATGCATCAACTCACGCACCAATCGTAATGGAGTAGGAGTGAACAGTGGGCGCCGGTCCGCTTTCCTGCATGTCAGCAAACAACTCCTTCGCCTCCTCCCCCACCATCACTCACCCCCTCACACTCTCATTCTCCCCCCCTCCACACCCACGCTCGCATCAACTCACGCATCAATCATAATGGAGTAGGAATAAACAGTCGGCGCCAGCCGACTCTCCTGCCTTGCACACTCTCTCTACAAACTTCCTAACTGCTCCACAGCCGTCCACACCAACTCTCGCATCAACTCACGTGTCAATCATAATGGAGTAGGAGTAAACGGTCGGTGCCGGCCCATTCTCCTGCATGTCAGCAAACAGCAGCCCTACCTCCTCCAACCCCCTCACTCCCTTGCACTCTCATTCTTTCCCAACAACACCCACTCTCGCATCAACTCACGCGTCAATCATAATGGAGTAGGAATAAACAGTGGGTGCCGGCCCATTCTCCTGCATGTCAGCAAACAGCTCCTTCGCCTCCTCCACCCGCTTGTTCTTCCCCAGGGCGCTCAGCATGGCATTCCATATCACTGCATCCAAGTCCCTGCCCGACCCTCTCAGGCTTGTAAACAGCAGCTGCACCGAAAGGGAGGAGGACGTGAGGAACGTAGGGAGAGTGCATGAGTTGATGCATCTGTCTCTTCCCCACCCACCCGCCCGTTCTTCCCCAGGGCACTCAGCATGGCATTCCATATCACTGCGTCCAAGTCCCTGCCCGACCCTCTTAAGCTGGTAAACAGCACCTGTAATGAGAAAAAAAGGGAGGCGTGTCGGGGGAATGGAGAGAGGATGGGACACGTTTGTCGAACAATATATGTGTGCGGCCTAGAGGACTTGTTATTCACCCCTCGTCCACCCGTTCTTCCCCAGGGCACTCAGCATCGCGTTCCATATCACTGCGTCCAAGTCCCTGCCCGACCCTCTCAGGCTTGTGAACAGCAGCTGCACACAAGGGGAAGAGGAGGCGGGGAACAGAAAGACAGATGTAGCTGGCTTTCCTGCACTTGCCCGTTCTTCCCCAGCGCACTCAGCATGGCGTTCCATATCACCGCATCCAAATCCCTGCCCGCCCCTCTCAGGCTGGTGAACAGCAGCTGCACAGAAGTGGAAGCAGAGGCGGGGAATGGAAGGAGTGAGCATCGCGGTTATGTGCGTTCCATGGTTCTTTTCTCCACAGCCCATTCTTCCCCAACGCACTCAGCATCGCGTTCCATATCACTGCGTCCAAGTCCCTGCCCGAACCCCTCAGGCTCGTGAACAGCAGCTGAAGGGATCCAACAGTGAGTGGGTGGGGGGAATGAGGAGAGAGAATGGAAGGATGAAATATTGTGTTCGTGGCTGCCTACTCTCCTCTCCACCTTTCCGTTCTTCCCCAGCGCACTCAGCATGGCGTTCCATATCACTGCATCCAAGTCCCTGCCCGACCCTCTCAGGCTTGTGAAAAGCAGCTGCAGGGATGCACCAGGGAAAGGGAGGATGGAGGGCGACAGCACAGGGTCATGTGTGTGCGGCCGAATCACTACTGATCCGTTCAGGGCAGGCCAGAACAAAAAAAAAAAAAAAAAAAAAAAAGGAAACCCTTAGCTAACCTGGGCGCATTTTTTATTTGGTTGAGTTTTTTTCCTGCCCCTGCTCTAGTCCACTATTCAGGCTCAGTAGTGCTACCTCCGTGGGAAGAACAGGAGAATATGGCCGTTCGTTCATCCCTCTTTTCTTTCTTCCCCTTCTACCCCCTTTTCCCCCTTTCGACAGATCTCCCTGCTTCACACGCATCCCCCTCGTATCTCTCTTCTTCCTTGCGTACCTTCGCCTTCTCCACCAGTCCACGCTTCCCATACACGCTGATCATCGTGGTGTGAGCTCTGATGCTAGTCCTCCCTTCACATGCACTGCGATGCGAACACACACATCTCCCTTCTTCTCACATTTCACATTTCACTTCGTTTCACACACATCCCCCTATTCGCTTCCTTTCCCGCCTTCCCTTCCCCCTCACCGCTTTATCCACGAGCCCATGCTTCCCATACACGTTAATCATGGTGGAGTGTGATATCCCCCTTTTCACAAACACATAATCCCCTCGTCTCCCACATCACCCTCCCTCACGCACCTTCGCCTTATCCACCAGCCCATGCTTCCCATACACGCTGATCATCGTGGTGTGAGCTGCCAGGTCCGCTATGCTACCGGACTCATCCGCCTGAAGGGGCGTGCATGCGTGGTGGGGGGGAACAAGTGGTGGGTGGGAGAAGGGGGGAAAGCTGAGTTATGGTGGTGAGGAGGAGGAGGAGGAGGAGGTCCCAGGGGATCCCAGGAAAAGCTGAGAAGGGAGTACCAGGGAAAGCTGAGAAGGGGGGAGGAAGAGGAGGAGGAGGAGGAGGAGGAGGAGGAGGAGGAGGAGGAGGAGGAGGAGGAGGAGGAGGAGGAGGAGGAGGAGGAGGAGGAGGAGGAGGAGGAGGAGGAGGAGGAGGAGGAGGAGGAGGAGGAGGAGGAGGAGGAGGAGGAGGGCGGTGGAAAATTTGATTATACAATGTGACCCAGTGTGCTTCCCATACACGCTGATCATGGTGGTGTGTGCTGCCAGGCCCGCTATACTGCCTGCCTGACTCATCCGCCTGAAGAGGGGAAACGGGGGAGGGAGGGGAGGCGCCAAAAAAAAAAAAAAAAAAAAAAAAAAACGGCACTTTTCCTCCTACCAGCTCACTCACCAATCAATACCCATCCATACCCACCAGGATCTCAGCAAAAAGAGCTTCAGCGGCATCCAGTTGGTCTGCCTTGCCTTGCACGCATTTATCATCGTTCTTAACAGCACAGCCAGCAGCAGCAACACTAGATGCTAACCCCCTACTCACCCATCACCACCCATCCACGCCATATCCACCCACCCAAACCCACCCACTCTCATCCACTCACCAGGATCTCAGCAAACAGCATACCTACCCCCCCTGGCCGTAAGCGTCCATCATCGTGCCCAGCAGCACCGCATCCACTGCATGTACACACAACCTACCCATGCACTCAACTGGGCTGCTACACATTAACCATTCGCCCACCAGGATCTCAGCAAACAGAGCTTCAGCAGCGTCCAGCTGGCCCGCCTTGCTGTAGGCGTCCATCATCGTGCTCAGCAGCACCACATCTACTCAGAAGCAAGCAAGAGGCTACACCGTACCCAGCCACACCGTACCCAACCACACCCCACCACTCACCAGGATCTCAGCGAACAGAGCTTCAGCAGCGTCCAGCTGGCCTGCCTTGCTGTAAGCGTCCATCATCGTGCTCAGCAGCACTGCATCCACCCGCCCCCCCCGCCTCCTCCCCCTCCCCCTCCCCCTGTGACCCCTCTTGCGAGAACTGCCCCCTCCTGCCGCTGCCGCTACCGCTGCTGCCCCTGCTGCCACTGCTGCTCCTGCAGCTGCTCCTGCTGCTACCCCTACTGCCGCTGCTGCTCCTGCAGCTGCTCCTGCTGCTGCCTCTGTTGCTGCTGCTGCCTCTGCTCCCTCTGCTGCTCGTGCTGCTGATGCTGATCCTGCTGCTGCTGATGGTGCTGCTACTGTCCCTTCTCCTGCTGCTGCCGCCGCTGCTGCCCGTGCTGCTCCTGCTACTTCTGCCACTGCTGCTGCTGCTGCTGCTGCTCCGGTTTCTGCTCCTGCTGCTTCTTCTGACTCTACATCTGCTACTGATCGATTTGATTTCTCGCCAGTACCACTGCTGCTGCTCTCGCTGTCACTGCTACTGCCACTGCTACTACCGCCGCTGCTGCTTCTACTCCAGACGCTGTTGTTCCTACTCCAGGTGCTCACACTATTTTCGCCGATGCTGCCCGGCTGGATCTGCTGGCTGCCCATGCCCCGGGCAGCCCGAAATATTCTCACCGCGTCCCCGAGCCGGCCTTGTTTGGAGAAGAGGGAGATGATGGCGCTGGCAATCACAGGGTCTAGATGCCCGCTGCCCTGAGTCTGAACAGGAAAGGGGAGAAGAAAAAGGTGTGTTGGGCAGGAGGGTGTGTGGTTGGGTAGCGGAGAAGTGAGAGAAGGGTCTAGGTACCCGCTGCCCTGAGTCTGAGGGGGGGAGAAGGTTAGAAAGAAAGAGGGAGGCACATAGAGAGGACAATTGGGAAGTTGGGAATGAAAGGGAGACTGGCGAATGAGAAGAGGGAGATGATGGTGCTGGCAATCACAGGATCCAGTCCAGATGCCCGCTGCCCTGAGTCTGGGGTGGGAGGGGAAGGGAGGGCAGCGAAGCTGGTGGTGGTACATGCCCATCATAAGACGTCACACAGTCAGCGCCGACACATGCACATGCATTATGGGCATGCACAAGCACATGCGTAATCAAGGCACCTCAAACCTCAAACCTCCACTCCACTCCCAATTGCGTCCATGCCATGGGCATGTAACACCAGGGCAGGGAAGGCGGCGGTGGTGGTACATACATGCAGTGAGCTCTGGGACATGCATCGTGAAGGCACCTCAAACTTCCACTCACAATAGCGTCCATTGCAGCTGTAGAAGCCTCTTCCAGCAGACCCAAGCGGTGGTAAACGCCGATCATGGACGTCAGCACGGGCATGTCCACTGCACACCCTGCCGCCTTCATTTCCTGGAAGGTTCTCAGCGCGGCCTCCAGCTTGCCGTGCCGCGCGAACATGGCGATCATTGCGCTGAAGACATGAGAGTCGGGCTGGTGCGGGTGGATGGAGGTGGATGGGGGAAGGGAGGGATTAGGGTATGGCTTTCATCTCCAGGAAGGTTCTCAGCGCGGCTTCCAGCTTGCCGTGCCGCGCGAACATGGCGATCATTGCACTGAACACGTGCGAGCCCGGCTGGTGGGGGGGGAGGGTTGGTGGGGGAAAGGGATTGAACAGGTAGGCTCTGGTTGGTTGCACCTTGGTACTCCAGCTTGCCGTGGCGAGCAAACATGGTGATCATTGCACAGAAGACGTGCGAGTCCGGCTGGTGGGGGTGGGGGGGGTGATGGTGGTGGGGTTGAAGGGTGGGTGGGAGAAAGAAGACAAAAGATTGAGCTACATGTTTCCAGCTTGCTGTGGCGGCGGGCCAACATGGCGATCATGGCACTGAACATGTGCGAGTCCGGCTGGTGGGGGTGGGGGGCAGGAAGGGTGGAGGTAATTGGGGTAAGGGATTGATCAGGGTGAGACTTTGGTTGGTTGTGCGTTTGAAAGTCCACCTTGCCGTGGCGGCGGGCCAACATGGCGATCATTGCACTGAACACGTGCGAGTCCGGCTGGTGGGGGGGAGGGGGAGGAGGAAGTGCATCGAAAGAGCGAGGGGGGAGGGGGGTGGTGAAAGGTATGGATTTTTTGCTGAGAGAGGTCTGGAACTTCAGATTGTGACTTTTGAGTCGACTCAAAAGTCAGCTGAGAGAGGTCTGGAACTTCAGATTGTGGAGGGAGGGAGGGAGCGAACAGGGAAGGAAGGGACACAAACAATGTCTGAGGTGCCTAGAAAATCACTTTTTAAAAGGGAATTTTGAACAAAAAATCGCCACCCACTTACACCCAAACCCACTTACACCCAACCAAACCTACTTACACCCAAAACCACTTACACCCAAACCCACTTACACCCAAACCCACTTACACCCAAACCCACTTACACCCAAACCCACTTACACCCAAACCACTTACACCCAAACCCACGCCACGCCCACCCACCCGCCCTCGCACAAGCATGCACCTGAACGCCCCCACCCATGCACACACACCCACACCACACACCTGAACTCCCTGCGCCTTCATTCTTTCAAACACACGAATGTGCACGCAAATGCAGGCAAACACACACCCACAACAACCACACATACCCACTCTCCCTCGCACAAACACACACCTGCACGCCCTGTGCCTTAATCCTTTCAAACAGCCCATCCGCTTCTTCAACCCCACCCACCCACCCACACCTACCCACACCACACCCACCCTCGCACAAGCATGCACCTGCACGCCATGCCCCCACCCACCCACACACCTGAACGCCCTGAGCCTTCATTCTTTCAAACAGCCCGACCGCTTCTTCAACCCCACCCACCCACACCTACCCACACCCACCAACACCTACCCACACCCACCAACAACTACCCATACCCACCCTCGCACAAGCATGCACCTGAACGCCCCCACCCATGCACACACCCCCACCCACACACACACCTGCACGCCCTGCGCCTTCATTCTTTCAAACAGCCCGACCGCTTCTTCAACCTGCCCGGAGCGGCTGAGCAGGCCAATGAGAGAGCAGCACGAGTAGACGTCCAGAGGCACGTCCATTTGGAGCATGAGGGCGTGCAGGCGGCGGGCAGCAGCGAGCGAGGAGGAGGAGGAGGGCAGCGAGGCGTAGAGAGAGAATAGCGTGTTGAATGTGACTGTTGACGGGTAGAACCCCCGTGCCATGAGGCGCTGGGGAGGGCGGGTGGGTGGGAGAAGCAGACACAAAGAGGGTGGGGGAAGAAGAGCAAGACAAGGGGGTGTTAGCGGTGAAAACCGGCTGAGCAGGCCACTCAAAGAACAGCACAAGTACACGTGGAGAGGCACGTCCAGGGGGACGCCCATTTGCAGCATGAGGGCGTGCAGGCGGCGGGCAGCAGAGAGCGAGGAGGAGGAGGAGGGCAGCGAGGCGTAGAGCGAGAACAGCGTGTTGAATGTGACGGTTGAGTGGTAGAATCCGCGAGCCATGAGACGCTGGGAGGGGGGCGAGGGAAGGAGGGAATGGGGGAACGGGTCAGTTGGGAAGGGATAGGACAGAGATTGAGGAGGAGGGCAGCCAGGCGTAGAGCGAGAACAGCGTGTTGAATGTGACAGTTGACGGGTAGAATCCGCGAGCCATGAGGCGCTGTTGAGGTTTGCGGAGGGAAGGGGTGGGGTGGGGAAGGGGAGAGAAGAGGGGGGTTGAGGGGAGGGCGCAGACACAGACTGAGTGCGGCGAGTTGTGAGCATTCGACTAAACATTCCCCTTTTCTGAGGCGCCTCAAAAGCAGACACAGACGGAGTGCGGCTAGTTGTGAGCATTCAACTAAAACATCCCCCTTTTCTCCCTGCCTCATCTTTCAAGCCTACCTTGAAAGTCTTCTCTGCCTTGTCCACGTCTTGACTTTTGAGTCGACTCAAAAGTCATCTCTTCAACTAAACGTTCCCCTTTTCTCTCTGCCTCGTCTTGCTTTGAGGTGCCTCAAAACAAGACTTTTCTCTCTGCCTCGTCTTTCAAGCCTACCTTGAACGTCTTCTCTGCCTTGTCCACGTCTCCCGCCTTGGCATACGCGTTCAGCAGCGAGTTGTATGCATTCAGTGTCGGCCCAAACCGAGGGGAGACAGCTCATGACTGCCCTGCTGTAAACCAAGTTTTGAGCCTACCTTAAAGGTCTTCTCTGCCTTGTCCACGTCCCCCGCCTTCGCATACGCGTTCAGGAGTGAGTTGTACGCATTCAGTGCCTCCCCATCCACTTCAAGACCTCGTCTCAAGCCTACCTTAAACGTCTTCTCTGCCTTGTCAACATCTCCCGCCTTGGCATAGGCATTGAGCAGAGAGTTGTACGCATTCAACGTTGGCCCAAACCTTGGGGGCGACAGCTCCCGATTCCCTCCTTCCAATCCGCCTCTGGTTCCTCCGCCTTCGCCTCTTCCAACCCTTTCCCTTCCTCTCCTCGCACCAGTGCTGCCGGAATATCCCCTGGTCGACTTTCCTCCCCTCCTTCCCCCTCCCTCCCGCCGTAGCATCTCCCTCCTTTCCACCTCCCTATCAATCTCCTTCCCTTCCTCTTCCTCCTCCCTGCCATCCTCCCCGCTTCCTCCTGCTCCTTCTGCTTCTAAATCACCTGAGAATCCACCTGAGGGTTCACCTAAGCTGCCCCTACTTCTCTGATTGGTGCTGCTGCTGCCGCTGTCATTGCTGCTGCTCCTGCTGCTGCTTATACGGCCATCGCCTGTGCTACTGCTACTGCTACGGCCATCGTTCCTGCTGCTGCTGGGGCTGCTGCTGCTGCTGCTGCTGCTGCTAGCAGTGGAAGGTAGCGGCGTAGGCTTTCTCAAAACCGTTGCAACAAGAGGAGGCGGAGGGGGAGGGGGAGGGGGAGGAGGGGAAACCAACGGTATACCCCCAGAATTTCCCGTTCCACCACTATCTACACCTGCAGCCACGAAACCCCCATCGCCACCAACACCAACGCCACCACCAGCGGCTACCACACTACCACTGCCACTATCCCAGTTACCCACACCAGCACTGCCATTTTCACCACCGGAATATTGGCTCTCACTGTCACTCTCGCTGATACCTTGCCTTTCCAGCCTTGAAACTGGGGATACAGTCACAGTTGCAGCCACTAGCCCCTCCCGAGCCTCGCTCCAAAGCTCACCCCGAGCCTTGCTCTGAACCTCTGGCCGAGGCTCGGAGCCCATCGAAGCTGGTTCGGAGCAGGAAAGGGCAGGTTGAAGGAGCGGAGATGGGTGAGGCTGGGTTCCCTGCAGCCCAGGGTTGGACCAGAAAGAGCCTTCAAAGGTGTCTGCTACAGATGTCTCTGCTGCTACAGGCCTTTCTGCTGCCACAGCTGCTGATGCAGCAACACCAGCTGCTGCTGACTTAGCTCCTACAGCAACACCAGCCCTGTCAGCACTGTCAGCACCACCGCCAGGCGCTCGCCCTTGCAGCGCCTCTCCTTCAAACCCCTCTGCACCCATCTGCACCACCAGCAAATCCTCTCTCTCTGCCACCCAGTCCATGTACTTCTCAGACGCCTTTTGAGGCGCCTCTGAAGCCGAATCCTCTGCCTCTGTCGCAGCCCTGCCCAGATGCTCTTGAGTCGACTCACAAGTCGCTTGAGACGCCTCAACGTCCCCTTGCACCCTGCTGACGTTTCTAGTCGACGAAATAATCGACCCAGCAGCACCCCTTTGCACCCTACCCACTGACTCCGCTCCCCCTGTTTCTCCCATGCTCTGGCCCACCCGATCCGCTTCAACGCTCCCCCCCCCATCTGCCTCCGCACTCCCCCAATCAGGCTCTACACTCCCCCACTCCCCTGTATCAACCCCACGTGCCTTTTCTTCCCCCTCACTCCGCCCGTCACCCCTGTCCGCCTGTGCCTCCATCTGCAGCAATAGCTCCTCTGCCTGCCTCACCTTGCCCGCCCGCCCATACGTAGCCACCATGGCGTTCCACACCACCACATCCCACTCGCCTGGGGGCGTGCCTGCCCGTGCCGCCTCAAACACCTGTGAATGACGGAACACAGAGGGAAGCAATGAGTGGGTTCTGTGTGGTGGAGAGCGGTTGGTGCTGCTGGAGAGCCCATACGCGGCCACCATGGCGTTCCAGACTACCATGTCCCACTCGCCTGGGGGCATACCTTCTCGTGCGGATTCAATCTCCTATGGAGACAGGGAGGGGGGTGCAGCAGGAAAGAAGAGGGAGGATGGGTTCTTTGGGGTGGAGAGCGGTTGCTGCAGCCCATATGCGCCACCAAGGCAGTCCACTCCACGCCACTACGTCCCACGGTGCCACTCCCCTAAGGCAATGCCTGGTCATGCGGAACAGTGTTGCATATATACATCCATACGTACATATGTATATGTATGTGTATGTGTATGTGTATGTGTATGTGTATATGTATGTGTATATGTAAATACATGAAATATATCAGCACATTATACATATATACGAGGAGAAGCCTCAGAAATCCTCTCAGAAACCATACCTCCTGCGCAGAATTCAGGTCCCCCATGCTGTTGTACGCAGCGATCAACGCGCATATCGTTTTCGAATCCAGCCGAAAAAGGCCGTCCTCCCTGCCGCCCTCCTCCCTGAGCAGGGCGGCGATCCGTGCCACGCCGTCCGTCCTGCCCGCCCGTGCAAAGAGCTTCATCACTGTAGTGTAGATCACCTGGTGTGACGAATGAATGGGGTGAGGGAACAAGAGGGAGGGAGGAGAACAAAGCTTGTTAATCTGAGAGCAATGCATGCCAGGCCATCCGTCCTGCCCGCCCGGGCAAAGAGCTTCACCACCGTTGTGTAGATCACCTGGTGCGACGAATGAATGGGGGAAGAGAGGGAAGGAAGAGAAAGGGAGAGCACAAGGGGGACTGTTCGCCTCAGCAATGCATGCCACACCATCCCTCCTGCATGCCCGTGCAAACAGTTCATCACTGACGTGTAGATTACCTGCTTTTGAGTCGACTCAAAACCGCGTGTAATGGGTCTGCTTTTAAGTCGACTCAAAACCGCGTGTTATGAGTCTGCTTTTAAGTCGACTCAAAACTGCGTGTAATGAGACAGCTTTTGAGTCGACTCAAAAGCAGACTCAAAATGCCACACCATCCCTCCTGCACGCCCGTGCAAACAGTTCTTCACTGACGTGTAGATTACCTGCTGGACGGATGGAGAGGAGAGAGGGGGTGAGGGGAAGGAAGGAGGGGGAGGGAAAGCGATGGGAAGCACCTCCCGTGTAAAGCGCCGGGGGAAGCGGGGGGAAGCGGGGGGGAGCGGGGGGAGCGGGGGGGAGCGGGGGGGAGCGGGGGGGAGCGGGGGGGAGCGGGGGGGGGCGGGGGGGAGCGGGGGGGAGCGGGGGGGGGCGGGGGGGAGCGGGGGGGAGCGGGGGGGAGCGGGAGGGCTGTTAGTCTCAGCAATGCGCGCCACGCGACCCGACCCTCCCGCCCAAGCAAAGAGCTTCATCGCGGGGAAAGGGGGCATGCATAGGCGCAAGGGGGCGTGCATGGGCGCAAGGGGGCGTGCATGGGCGCAAGGGGGCGTGCATGGGCGCAAGGGGGCATGCATGGGCGCAAGGGGGCGTGCATGGGCACAAGGGGGCGTGCATGGGCGCAAGGGGGCGTGCATGGGCGCAAGGGGGCATGCATGGGCGCAAGGGGGCGTGCATGGGCGCAAGGGGACGTGCATGGGCGCAAGGGGGCGTGCATGGGCGCAAGGGGGCGTGCATGGGCGCAAGGGGGCGTGCATGGGCGCAAGGGGGCGTGCATGGGCGCAAGGGGGCGTGCATGGGCGCAAGGGGGCATGCATGGGCGCAAGGGGGCGTGCATGGGCGCAAGGGGGCGTGCATGGGCGCAAGGGGGCGTGCATGGGCGCAAGGGGGCGTGCATGGGCGCAAGGGGGCGTGCATGGGCGCAAGGGGGCATGCATGGGCGCAAGGGGGCATGCATGGGCGCAAGGGGGCATGCATGGGCGCAAGGGGGCATGCGTGGGCGCAAGGGGGCGTGCACGGGAAAGGGACGGGAGGGAGATGACAATGAGGATAGGAGGGGCACACGAAGACGGAACGACGGTAGCACAGGAGAACACAGAAGCCATTTTTCTCGTATCAAAATCGTCTCTCCTGTCACCTGGTGGGTCCAAATCGTCTCTCCTGTCGCCTGGCACGTACCCCCTTCTCCATGTGCTTAAACGTAGACGTTAACCATTTAAACACAGAGATGGACGGATCTACGTTTCTCTGTACAGAGATGAAGAGTCCTATCATCCTATGGTAACGACGGGACGATAAAAGGGACCTTGTAGAATTAATTTCTTTTCTTGTCCTCACCTGATTCAGCTTGCAGCGGCATCCTCCATGCGGCTCAAATTGAAACGAACCATGGGAGAGAGGGGACGATGGTAAAGACAGGAAACGGTACAAACAAACACCTTCTCTGAAACTGCTTCCACATCTCATCACTCGTCCTCGCCTGATTTGGCATGCGCTCGAACCACAGGGGAGGGGAGAGGGGATGAGGGTCAAGACAAGAAGATACAGAAGATCCTGATCTCTTCTGATGTTCTCACCTGGTTGGGCATGCAACCCGCCTTCTCCATGCGCTCAAACCACCCTAGAGCTTCTTGTGACAGTCACCTCTCGTCTCTCGTCCTCACCTGGTTGGGCATGCAACCCGCCTTCTCCATGCGCTCAAACCACCCTAGAGCTTCGTTGAAGCGACCGGCATTGGAGTAGGCGACTATGAGCGTGTTGTACACGTACTCGTCCATGGGCACTCCTGTGATAATTATTTGAAAGAGCGGAAGACAGAGAAGCAGGGAGAGCGGGGCGTGCCATGGTGGGAGAGAGGTGAGCATTCAGCATTGGAGTAGGCGACTATGAGCGTGTTGTACACGTACTCGTCCATGGGCACTCCTGTGATAATTATTTGAAAGAGCAGAAGACAGAGAAGCAGGGAGAGCGGGGCGTGCCATGGTGGGAGAGAGGTGAGCATTCAGCATTGGAGTAGGCGACTATGAGCGTGTTGTACACGTACTCGTCCATGGGCACTCCTGTGATAATTATTTGAAAGAGCGGAAGACAGAGAAGCAGGGAGAGCGGGGCGTGCCATGGTGGGATAGAGGTGAGCATTCAGCATTGGAGTAGGCGACTATGAGCGTGTTGTACGCGCGGCGGCACAAGAGCAAGCGCGCATTGTAAGCCAGCGCGGAGCGGAGTGCAGGTGCTTTCACTGCGCCTAACATCGCAGGCATGCACGCATGCGCAGAGCACCACCGCCAGCCCGTGCACACACACATGCATGCATGGATGCGGAACGGAATGGAAGTGAGTGAGTGAGAGAGTGCATCTCCTCGCTCCGTGGATGTACACGTGGATGCTGCGCGGAACGCCCCGAGCCCAAATACCCTTCCTACCTAGTCTTGCCATATCATCCAGCACGGATTGAAGATGGCTCCACTGCGCAACCCGCCCGCCCCGCCCCGCCCCAGGCAGGCACGCCAGCACCACCGTGTACACGTGGATGCGGAATGGAGGGGAAGTGAGAGTGGAGTGGACTCACCTAGTCTTGACAGGCACTGTGGATGCAGGTGGTTCCACTGTGCCGCGCGCCCCAGGCACGAGAGTACCACCATCGGTGCACACGTGGATGCTATGCAGATTTATCCCTCTCTGCTCCGAGTCCCAGTCTACCTCTATGTCAGCCTCTCACCGACCTCTCTCCCCCAACCGCCCTGTCTCTCTCTCCCTACGTACCCAGTCGTGAATTGTCATCTAAAACGGATTGCGGGTGGTTCCACTGTGCCGCCCGCCCCAGGCACGAGAGCACAGCCTTCCCATGCCAGTGCAGGCTATCCCATGCACTGCTGCTCGCAGCCTATACAGTTCTCTCCCTCCCTCACCTAGTCTCGCCATATCGTCCAAGACGGATTGCAGGTGCTTCCACTGCGCCGTCCGCCCCAGGCACGAGAGCACCACCGTGTACACGTGGATGCTGCGCGGAATGCCCTGCCCTGCCATCCAATCGTAGAGCGCCAGCACGACACGCCAGTCCGCCTCTTGCTGACAGATGGGGGTAGATGGGGGAGCGGAGGGAGAGGAAGGGGAGGGGAGAAACGGGAGGGGGGAAAGGGATGGGGAGACAAGGAGAAAAGCACATTTATTTACAAAAACCAGATCCGTGTGCTTGCTACCACAATCATCACCAGAAGGAATGCCATCCAATCATCCTTCCTATCACAAACTCATGCAGGAATCGAATGGAATGGAATGGAATGGATGCTGCGCTGCGCGAAATGCCCTGCCCCGCCATCCAATCGTAGAGCGCCACCACGACACGCCAGTCCGCCTCATGCTGGCAGATTGGGCAGTTTTGGGAAAGGGAAGACGACGGGGGGTCAGAGCAGGGGGGAGGAGAGAAACGGCTGCTTTGCTTCACCACCCGACCATGCATGCAGGGAGGGATCGGTTGACAGGGGGAGGTAGGGCAGCAGCATGCAGTGGGTCGTTCCGACTTTTGAGCGGCTTTTGAGGCGACTCAAAAGGAGGGATCGGTTGACAGGGGGGGAGGTGGTCGGGCAGTATGCACGCAGGCCATTCCGACTTGCGAGGCGCCGCAAAAGTTTTGAGGCGCCTTTTCAGGCGACTTTTGAGGCGGCTTTTGAGGCGCCTCAAAAGGAGGGATCGGTTGACAGGGAGAGGTGGTCGGGCAGCAGCATGCAGTGGGCCGTTCCGTTTGACCACATACCTTTCTCTCTGACGCGGCTAAACTTGAAGCTATTCGTTGGTTGGTCGGTTCTATTTCTCCACTTCCTTCGCTCACCTGTTTCTCGGTCGGCGCTAGTTGTCCTATCCTACTGAGACTCCAGACTGCTTCGTGGTGCTGCTTCTCTGAGTGACATTGTAACGAGCTGAATTTTGAGTCGATTCAAAAGTCGCTCACTCTCTCACTCACTCACTTGCTTCATGATGCTGCTCAGAGCGCGCGAATCCAGCCTATCCGCGAACGGCGTGAGCACCGACGGGAACTACCCTTTAAGTATGTGATCCAGTCCGAATCCAGCCTGACACAACTCACCCTCACATCACTCTCACTCAGTCACTCACTCACTCACTCCCTCACTCACTCACTCACTCACGCACCTGCTTCATGATGCTGCTGAGAGCGCGCGAGTCGAGCCTATCCGCGAACGGCGTGAGTACGGACTCCAGCTGCCACTGCGGCGACGACAGCGGCGTGCCTGTTGGCGAATCCCTAAGAGAATCCCAGCCCAACCTAGCAAGTGACCACAGACACACTCTCACTCACTCACTTGCTTCATGATGCTGCTCAAGGCTCGAGAATCCAGTCTATCCGCGAACGGCGTGAGTACGGATGCCAGCTGCCGCTGCAGCAACGACAGCGGCGTGCCTGCTGGCGAGTTCTTCACTGCCGCCAGTGCCCGCTGCACCCCCTCCTGCACCTCCCCTGGCGTCCCCTGTGAGGATTGCGCAGAGAAAGTGTTGGGGGAGGGCGGGAAGGGGGTGGGGGAGGGGTGCAGGGGGAAGGAGAAGGGAATGGCCGGAAGAGGGGGGAGTGCAAGAATTCAACGAATCAGATGCCAGCACAGCCGCTCGCCTCATCTTGAGCGGCTTTCATTCAACGGTCAACAATGCAAGAAAAATCAAGTGACCAGATGCTAGCACAGCCGCTCACCTCACCTTGAGCGGCGCCGTCGGCGGCGTCGGCGGCGGAAGCGGCGGAAGCCTGCGCGGGCACCGCAACGGCGGAGGAGACCGTCCCCGCGGCGGAGATTCGGCGCGGAGCGGAGATGGCTGCCCCGCGGAAAGAGACGGAGGCGGTCGACGAGAGGGCCTGGAGGAGACGGAAGGCAGTGAGAGGAAGCGGTGAGAGCGATAACTAATGACAGGCCGAGGGAAAGGGATGCAGAGAGAGGAAGCAGTTGAGAAGCTAGTAAATGGGTGAATATGTATACGAGAACCAAAAACATCAAATTCATAAAGGAAATTCAGAAGGCTAACGGGTTGGGAAATGAACAAGGATGTGATGGCGTATCGTGACAGAAGCTACGGAAGCATCTAGAAGCTCACATTCTGAGACGTCGACGCAGCGAGAGAAATGCTGCTCATCTGCGCTTTCGGAGGCGCTAGAAGCGACGCCATGGCTGGCCGAGATCACAGCCACCAGCTACCTCAAGTCACGGGGAAATCTACACTGAGGACCAAGGAGGAAGTACAGTAGGATAGTAGGAACTCGGAAACCCTAGGGAGAGGGGAGGTTAGGGAGAGTACCTAGAAGCTGGGGATGTGAATCTCAGAAGGACCAGGGAAGTTAAGTCCCTGAGTTCGACGAAGCGGCGAACATAAGCGAACCCTAAACGAACACTCAAAAGTTCGCGCGAAAGTAGAAAACTATGGGTGAAGATTGGCTGTTCTGCGACGAGAACTGACACGTCATCATTTTGGGTATCGGTGTTCTGGGTTTGATCACGTGGCGGCCCAGGCTTTTCTGGATGACGCTGACGTGGTAAGGGAAGCCAAGCTGAGATGGGATGTCAGGAAGTTGAGAGGGGCCAATCTCGAGGTTCATGGCTCTTCAGTGTGCACGCGGTTCTGGCTACAAGCCTACCTGAGGTCTACAAGTAGGTATAACCAAACAAATATGTGCCTTATGATAAGCCCACCATTACTAATGTCTTGTAGCTATCATTGCCTTCTACAATCTCATGTTACAATATATTCAATCACAAGAATATTAATTAAATCAATGAGGGGAATCGAAACAATCAATGGATTCGCCCATTGACTAAATCACCTTTTTTTTCTTAACTATCTCCTCTGTACATGTTGTGTACCTCGTGTTCCTTCCTCCATTTCTCCCCTTCATTGTTGCTCCTAGTTCCCCGCTTCTAACTTTCTAACCTCCTCGTCCTGTTTTCCACCCAGCAGCTCCTGTAGGAAACCCCTAGGCGGCTACTACAAGCTGATTCAGCACCAGACCAGGTCAAAGCAGGTCCTTCAGCATATGATACAGTAGTCTAAACCATTAATCCGGTGGACCACGCAGCCAGTAGTGCAGGCAGCCCCTAGGCGGCTCCAAAGGCCCATCACTAGGCGACAGATAAGACCAAGTCCTTCAGAATATGATACTATAGTCTCACCCATTCATCCGACGGACCAGACAGGCAGTCGTGCAGGCAATCCCTAGGCGGCTCCAGATGCCCATCCAGTCTCAGCACCGTCATCGGGTCTACATTTAGAAATTCCCCGCTGATTCCCTCCACAAACTGCTGCGCCACAACATTCTGACCAACGAAATCACTGTAAGAATGTGATGTTTGTGTAGCATGCAGTGGGGTATTTTATAGCGAGTACAGCCCGAACTAGGGTTTGCTATATGTACTCAACTGCATGCTACTGAAAACCCCTCTTTCCTGTTTCTCGTTTTAGCCTGCTATTTCGACATGCTATCAGAGCAGGTCGACCCTCCTGGGTCGATCCTGTAGATGGGCCCGCCACCTAATGCTTTCGCTGCTGTCCTGCCTATCGCGCGCCCTGGGCGCGCGACGTGTTTTGCTTGCCGCGCACTCGGGTGCACGGCGTATTTTTCATCCCGCCGCGCGCACGGGGCGCCCGGCGGTTTTCTGCCCGCCGTGCGCCCCGAGGCGCGCGGCGGTTTTCTGCTCCGTCGATCCGCGCGTCGCCCCCCGTCGCCCGTCGCAGCGCCCCCGGGGACCCGTGTGTCGCCCCCTGTTGCCCGTAGCGGCCCGCGCGACCTGCGCCAGGCCCGTGCGCGGCCCGTATAGCCCGCGTGCGGCCCGTCTGGCCTGCGCCAGGCCCGCGCGCGGCCCGTACGGCCTGCGCCCCATACGGCCTGCGTCAGGTCCGCGCGCGGCCCGTACGGCCTGCGCCAGGCCCGCACGCGGTTCGTCCGGCCTGCGCCAGGCCCGTGCGCGGCCCGTACCGTCTTCCCCTGTGCCGCACGCCGTCCCCCGAGCTTCTGACTGCGCCCCACCCCCGCTGCTGCCCGCGTTCCTGTGTTAGGGTTTGGGGGTGGAGAGTATGGGGGTGCCGTGTGTATGAGCCGTCCCCTACTCCTCCTCCTCCTCCTCCGTCTCCCACTGCTGCGGCTGCCGCTGAAGGGAGTGGATGTGTTGGAGCCGTCGGAGTGGTACGAGGGGGGTGGCGTGTGAGCAGTGCTAGAGGTGCAGCAGGGGGTGTGTGACACGGGTGTGGGACAGTTGGGGGAGGTTGACCGGAGGTAGCCGACTTGTCGTTCGCAGTGCCTAAAGTCCAGGGAGCCACGACCCCCTGTGGCTTGAGTAGTATGGGGCTCTACGCCCGGTAGCCACAGTGTGAGCACTCCTGGTAGTCCAGAGAGCCACGACCCCCTGTGGCCTGAGTAGTCCGGGGCTCTGCGCCCGGTGAATACAGTCTGAGCACTCATGGGAGCACAGTGAGCCAGCTGCGTCTGTCGCCGTGTAGTCTGGGTTTAGCCTGGTAGCGACAGTGCTGCGCACTCCTGCTGCCCGTGTGTCTGCAGCTTCAGTCGTCGCCTCCCATCTGCTCGCCCCCACAGTTCCCCTCCTCCTCACTTGCCCTCTGAGATAGCCTCTAGCTTTGCTTATAATTGTGAACTACTGCTTTGCCTGCTTGTTGTGTTGATTGTACCCCACTTTGACTATGGGGGTGTGTCAGAATATGATGTTTATGTAGCCTGCAGTGGGGTACTTTATAGCGAGTATAGCCCAAACTAGGGTTTGCTATATGTACTCAACTGCATGACGAGAAGTGAGAATGGAAATGAATGAACTATGAAACAGTTGGGTACAAGTACTAACCCTGATTGGGTTGTACCCCTTATGGGCTACCCCACTACAGCCTACACAAATGTATAAGCTATAATGTTCTGACACACCCCCATAGGCAAAGTGGGGGAGAACAAGTGGTCACAAGACCAGTCAAGCAAAGCAAAGCAAAGCAAAGCAAAGCAAGCTCAGGGTGGATCACAAAGTCACCACACAGTCCAAGCACAAGAGTAAGGCCACAAGGCCAGTTCACATGCAAGGTCATATATAAAAAGGTAAAACAAGCAGGGGCAGGTATAGAAAGAAGACAGTACAAACAAGATCAAGAAGTGAGCAAGTGAGGCCAGGTAGGCACAAGACCTAGCACAGTACAGAAGCGCTGATGATCACAAGGCGGAAGGGCCTTGGTGAAGATATCAGCAGTGTTGGCCTCAAAGGCCACGTAGGTGAGGCGGAGCTGACCACGCTGCTGCAGCTCACGAGACAGGAAGTAGCGGAGAGCAATGTGCTTCGTTCTGTGCTCCAGTCTGTGCTCCCGACACAAGGCCAGCATGGCCTTGATGTCTACGTACAGAACTGGAGGAGAACGAGGAGGCTCTCCTAGGTCAGTCAGAAGATAGGTGAGCCAGCGTAGCTCCTGTGCAGCCATGGCCCCTACGTAGATCTCAGCCTCACAGCTGGAGCAGAGAAAAGAGGACGAGCGAGTAGACTGCCACGAAACAGAGCCGGAGCCAAGGCTGAAGGTGTAACCCTGTGACGACCGCTGCGTAGCCTGGTCGTCAGCCCAAGAAGCGTCAGCGTGACCTGTGAGGACTACTCGACGTCGCCCTCCAAGCACTAGCCCCATGCCCGACGTACTGCACACGTAGCACAACACCGTCTTCGCTGCAGCCATGTGCTCTGGTCGGTGTCTCCTAGGAGCAACATAGCGTGCCAAGATGCTAAGAGGGTATGCAAGGTCAGGTTGTGTGCAGGTCATCAGGTACATGAGGCAGCCAACAAGCTCTGGGTACGGGCCACTCGACTCTACGGACTCATCCGAAGGCAGAGCTGAAAGCGAGTGGCGAGTAGACAGAGGAGTGGCCTGAGGCGAGGAGTACGTGAAGCCGAAGCGCTGAAGGACCTGCTGCACCATGTGTGACTGAGTCAGAGTAATGGTGCGCTGTGCTTTGTCCCGGTTGATCTGCAAGCCAAGGTAGCTGTACATTTCACCCAGGTCTGTGCACGTGTGTCTCTTCTGCAGCTCGGACTTCACGTGGGCGAGTCCAGCAGTGTCAGCAGTGGCAAAGACCAGGGGTACACGAGGATGTAGAACGGCGGCAAAGAGGTGTCGGTGCGTAGAAACAGCGACGGGTCGGCTGTAGAAGGAGCGAACCCAAGAGCCGCAAGTGTAGTCCTCAGTGTGTCGTGCCACTCACGGGGCGCCTGGCGGAGACCGTAGACTGGCCGCCGGAGGCTCCACTGGGTGCCAGGAGGAAACGACCCAGTGAAGCCAGGAGGGCGGCGCAGCCAGATCTCCTCGTGCAAGCTGCCCTACAGGAAAGCAGTGTTGAAGTCAAGAGAGTGAAGCTCGTAGTCGCGCTGAGCGGCTATGTGCAGCAGCACCCGAAGAGTGGTCATCTTTGGGGTGGGAGAGAAGGTCTGAAAGTAGTCAACTCCCTGCCGCTGACTCAAGCCTCGAGCCACGTAACGCGCCTTGAAGACAGGCGGAGAGCCCGGCGGCCGCTTCACCATGAAGATCCACATCCCACTGACGATGTTCGCCCCAGGTGGGGGAACCTCGTTGACGTAGGTGCCTGTGGACTTCTAGGAAGCCATCTCTGCGTCCATGGCCGACTGCCGCTGAGAGGAGTAGGGACCCTTGATCGCCTCAGCGTACGATCGAGGAGTCGAGATGTCAGGTGCATCCGGGTCTCCCTCAGGGGCGATCAGCGTGGACACGAGATGGGGCAAAGTAGCCGCAAAGCACTGGAACTCCTCCTGCCTGTCCTCAAGGACGTCCGTGCTAAGAGCACACTCACCCCCGACGGACGGACGACAGACAGACTCAGACTCAGCAACAAGACTGGCAGCGTGGTCTAGACGACAGCGAGCAGCGAAGTCGACAAGCTCAGCAACGAGAGCAGACGCAGCAGCAGACTCAAAGGAAGGGTCAGTGACGACAGTAGCAAGAAGGCGCGTGATCGAAGGATTAGCAGCACGAAGGGAGTCAGAATCAGGGTGAGGAAGAGAAGGAAGAGAGGACTCTGGAGGAGACGACAAAGGGACACGCAGAGGAGCAGTGGAAGGACGCAGTGCCATCTGGTGTGTGCCGGGGACCGC